TATACCAAATTATTGAAACTTTTTAGCTTGTTTTATTTCAGTTTTAATATGCTTAATAATTCTGCTGCCAAATCCCTTCTTTCCTTTGTCAAGCACTTCAGACAATAGTCTGCAATCATCTTTTGTCTCCCAAATTTATGTTTGGATGGGTGAGTCTGTGAGTTGCGGAGGCACAGGCTTAGGACTTCTGGTTTGTAAGTCTAACTGAAGTTTTCTATGAACTTTCTGTGCTATATTTAATGTACTTGGTGATGTCCTGAAACGTGCGGTCCCTAAACAATAGGAATGATTAGTTTTTTTCAAATGGAGCCCTTTTTTTGTTGTATTGTTGATTCAAAGTATTTTGAACTAATGCAGCACAAACATTGGACTTGTCCATGGAGTGATCACTGATGAATAGGAAGTGTATAATACTGAACTTTAAGGTACAAGCATGTAGTTGAACATGAAAACCAAACCATGGTGTGCGTTTATATCCAGGATATGGTACCCAGACCTATCTCTTAAATAGGAAATAATTTCCAAAGACAAAAGTGTTGGCCTGACACTAAGAAGGCAAGAGTTTGATTTCCAGCTTCACTGCTGGCATGTGGCTTGGCCTCAGGTGAGACAGCATGCACCTTCGTACGCCTTGGTTAGCTGCCAGGAGAATGGAAAAGGTGAGCTTACCTTGTACAGCACAGCAGCTTCAGGGATGCAGTTGGACAGCTAAGTAGTTTATTGAGCTCAGACTATACAACTATTTTGTTTGAAGAAATTTCGAAGAAACTGACTCATCTTGACCCGAAATATTTCCTGGGATTAATCAGCAGATCAATAGTAAATTAGAAAGCTAGTTGTCGGACAAATATGAATGCACGAAAATAATCTATAATTTATGAACAGACATCTTTTTTAAAGGGAATCCTGTAATTTTTTTTAACTTGTATGGTTATATTTAGTATTTGCAAAATCTGTTTGACGTTTTCACCATTGCTTTTAATACAATTCTACTGATTAAAGGTATCAGGCCGCTAAAAAAAAGAATACTAAAATCAGCAGCCTTTGCACTTGCTTTTTTCCATCATTCAAGTCTGCAAGTGAGAGAGTGATGCATGTTTCACATTTTGTTCTCTTAGCATTAGCACAGTAGCCCAGAGTCTTTCTGCAGCTACAGTCATGCAGAAAGTGGTATAATGGGGGGCTGAATTTGGCCTCCACCGTGCATTTATTCTTTCCTCTCAAGAAATTATTAGCATTGTTGTGAAATATTGGTCTTCCACTTCCAAATATCCCCTCATTATCCTTGAAACATTTTCCCTACTAAAAGATATAATTTGCATTAGATTTGTGTTTGTATTTTCAGCATTCACACATCCAACTCACCCTGGCTTTGAAGAAATTCAGAGTCACAGTAGACTTTGCAAGGGAGGCTGAAGGCAGTATTTTTTTTCTCTACTTAAGGAGTGAAAGAGAAGGGCCCTCTCATGCCAGAGCTTTCACTGCTCAGAAACAGTCCAAAATAAATGTTCCCTCCTCACCTTCCCAAGGGTCTTTATGCACTGAAGCTCTGCAATAGCTGTGCTGTCTGGAAACAAAACCAGTTTTTCCTTCTCACACATTATAGGGACAGGTGTTTAGCTTTGGAAGGATAAAGCAGTCAATGTCCCCAGGGATGGGAGGAAATAGAGAATAGGTGTTGGTAATCTGCATTAAATGGTATTAAAACTATTCCTGGGAGATGAGAAGAGGATATTAATGGAACATGTTTTTTTATTGCACTCTGGTTCTCACTTAATATGCATAAAACATTATCCCACAGCTTATGCATCCGTACAAATGGAGAACGTATAGGAAATGTCACTTGTGAAATGTAATGATGCTTGTTCTGCATACACAAACGAGGAGTATCCGTTACATGAGAGTCTCATAGGTGTTAGTAAAGTTTTATTGTTACATGTTAAAAAATGTGCTCACTGGTAAAACATATCTAGAAAGTAGCATTCAGGTTTTCTTCCCCATATTATTGATTACTGGCTATTCCTTTAGCTAATATTTTATATATACATTTTGGAAGAAGAAATATAAGGCAAATGATACAGTCAGTACTAGGGAGACTGCATTGTTTTGCCTGACAATAAGATTTTTAGACAAAAAGAGGCACTAACTACAACCATTTCACACTGAAGACAATGCCAGTTCCTCTCTGTTTAACATCAAACTGACCTTTGTGCTTTCTTCATCCTGTGCAGACTGTTTGTAAATGCAAGTAGTAGAACTGAGCTCACAGCGTGCCTTTTTCAGTTGTCATAGCTATATCATGACCTGTGGAAATCCCTACAGTTGTCTTAAAAGACAAGCAAATTACAAAAAATTAGAATACTGTAAACAAAAGTCATAGCTTCTTACAGTTAAGTTTGTTTTCCATTGATTCTAACTTAGGCAGGCTGAAATCTTTCATGCCAATCATTTACTTGAGAATGAGAATCTTGGAAATCGGATGAGTTGGTTTTCAGTACAAAAGGGGGGGAAAAGTCAGTACTTAGGACAAAAGGAATAACATAATGTGAAGTATAGCAGGAATATAGAGAGCTTACAGAAAAGGCCTGAGGAGCAAAGCAGTCATGTCTGTGGTAAGGAACTGAGCGCTGGAGAGGGAACTGCCAAGGGTAAAACTGCATTAGACCTTACCGAAGAAAGTAAAACAAAAAGCAAACTCTCTTTAACCTTATAAATAAAAGTGGAAAAAAGAAAGCGAGAGGACCCATGTGGGTAATGTGCACTCTCTCATTTTGCCATTTTCTTCCCTTTTTTCCTACTTTTTTTAATATTTGGCTGCATTAAGAAGTTCTATGCTAGTGAACCTTGTCATTGTGACTGCAGAGCCTCCCGTGTGTGTGTCACTCCTTCCTTTGGGGAGCTCTTACTCTCTGTAATACCTATTTCAGGCGGGGTGAACCAGCCCCAAAGGGCAGCTTTATCCCGCCCACACCCTTTCCCGCTGTGGATGCATGACACTGCAAGGACCTGTGTAGCCACTGGGTCAGTGAGGGGCCCAGTATCATCCTCCCCAGCAGCAGATGGGGTTTCCCCAGGTCTCTCCTGGGTCTAACTCTCAGCATGAAAATGGCTGGGACATGCCACAGGTCACCACTGGCTTTTTCCGTCTTGTATGAGCTCTTTTTATGAGCTTTTTATGAGCAATAAAGCCTTAATTGTCACAGGCAAGGCAGCATGTTCTGCCATTGGAGTAGTCTAATTGGAGGTATGACTGGTGGCAAAAGGCAGACAAGTAAAGATTACAGTAGCCCAGCGGTGTGATCAAAGCCAAAAGAAGCTCAGTGAGGGTTCCTAAACAAAATAATGTGCTCCTCAAGTCTCGAGGATTTGGTCTTGACAATGGCTGGAAAGCCTTCCTGCGTAGATGAATGAAAAAGGTATTTTTATTCTTGTAGTTATAGTAAATCAGTAAGGTGATTAATTAATTAATTAATTAATTAAATTAATTTATTTGCAGCAGCTATAAGTCATCTTACCTCTCTCGTAGAAATAGTACTCGCTTCCTGTATGTTAGTTTAAGTTATCCTCAGGTGGATAGACAAAAATGAAAGGAGGAATGGTAAGAAAAATTTCATGTTGTAGCCTCTGTTCACAGTGTAATGCAGCTACAAAGGTATCATATTCACAATCTCATTTGTCTCAGTGAATAATAAATACTAATCAAATGACACGGAGATGACAATGATATCAGCTGATGGAATTATTCGTTGATTTTAGAACAGTCTTTCATCTTTTAGTATTTAAAATTCAAACTCTTCCATTTTTTATCCCACCCTTTTGAACAGTGATACTGTGAATGTTCATGTATATATGGTATGTTTGTTTATATAGTATTCTTATTTCAGAAGGGGTTTTCTATACAATAAAATCATTAGTTGCACATACATGCTAAGATAAACACAATTGTGTAAAGCTGCAGTATAACAAACTAACAATCAGTATAGGTTGCATTCATAGAAACTGAGTCAGACTGTGTGTCAGTGAGATGCATGGAAGTACAGGACTAGCCAAAGCCACAAGCAGGCCAAGTAATATATGCAATCCCTTGAGCATGGCTTTTATGGCTCCCTACCCCTGCAATTGCTGTGGATGGGTTGCACCATGGAAATTGCCTAGTTCTTTCTTTCCCCCCAGGAAATATGTAAGGCAACTTAAGCTATCTTTCCCAGGATAGGCAAGTCTCACAAATCTTCTGCATTTCATCAGGAAACTGGCAAACAGTGTATCTGGTATGAAGACCACAGGGAATAGTAGCTTACCAATACTCTCCCTTGGCTCAGCAGACAAAGAACTCACTATGAACCTAAACCTCATCAGCTGTGCTGATGATCCATAGGCATACCCATACAATGCTTCACAACAGCATGTTTTTTCAGTTGCTGGTTTTGGTTGGTTGTTGCTTGGAGAATTGCTGTGACAAAAAACCTCTAAGGACTCAACTCTATCTCTCCTTTTTTTTCAACAGTTTTTTGTGTAACAAAAATTTTTTGTACATTTTTGTGGAACAAAGACAAAGATTTTTAATATTAAAAAAAAGTAAATAGGAAGGTGGCCCCTGTAGTTTAAATAGAAGGTTTGGAGACCAAGTTCTGTTTGTGTAACTTGGTCAACCATGCTTCTTGAGTTTATGCTCCGTGTGTAACCTCCCTATCTTACTTTCCTCAAAACTAAAAAGAGGATGACCCAAATAGTGGGAACCTTAGGAGGCTTGATATAAATATTTCCAAACAGATCTAAGATCTTCATATGGCTGGTTCACTGGCTTTTGGATAATTATTATATAAATTTTTTTCAGCTGATGAGAAAGGTATTCATTATCATAGTATTCCTATTTTTCATTATGAGAAAACAAGGAGAAAATGGGATGGAATTGCCTTTTTCCCCTAATTTTGACTTCAAAACACATATTTTTGCAGCAAGTTCAGTACTCAGCAAGTTTCTTTCATGTTCCTGTTTTTTAGGTTGTGCAGTGGATGGTCATCCAACCCCAAACATCACCTGGCTTTACTCTGGCGAGCCTCTCAGTATGCGGCATCGCCTCCTGTCAGCAGGCCGTATTCTTCAGATACTCAATGTCAGTGATGCTCCTGATGGTGAATTCAGCTGCCTTGCTCAGAATGAGGCTGGCTCGCTCACACAGAAAACATCCTTGGCTATACAAGGTAACTTTCCAGTTTTAGTCTTGCTGCCCTGTGAAGCTCTTCCCATGGACTTCCTGCACTGCCTTTGTCATCCCAGATTTCTCCTTTATGAAGCCAGGATTGTCATGGACAGCAGGAAATAGATGTTTTGATGTTTTACTGCCATGAATATAGATTTGAAGGACTACTAGGTACCTTGCAGTGACTTGGGTTTTATTTTACCAAAATGATGCCTGATATATCTGGCCTGCTGAGCATAAAACACACCTTACTGATTCAAGCTATACTTACACTTGTGGAGTGGGGCTATTTTTCTTGTCCAGAAATTTAAGACAGAAGTGTCAACAGTTTGAAACCCTAAAATTATTCTGATTAATCTGTAAATTAACAGTTTATCAATTCAGTGTTTCACAGTCTCTTCTTCCTTGAAAACCCTTCACTTGTAAAAATTTCTGCAACCTAGAAATAGGCTGAAGGTGACAAAGCCACAGAACCGAACAGTGTGGATGGGTTGGAACAGATTATGCAGCTTTCATTGCTCCAGTTGTCAGGAATGGACTGGAGAAGAATTTAACTTTTCTTTAAATTTTGCCATAAAATTTTAAGTGTGTTGCAACTCCCCCATTCCTCTTCAGGAGTGATGATGTGTATGATCTACCTGGAAAGAAACACCCTGTGGTAAATGCTGGTAATTGCAGTTAACCATACCTTCACTAAATCACATCCCTTTAAAAATATAGACATAATGTCCTGCATCACTGGCATCTGCCTCCACTTAACTGCTCTACCATGTCATTCACTTTCCATGCTAGATGCTTCTAAGCACCAAAAAACTGGGTTTGTTACACCAAAGACAGTCAGTGATTTTCATCAGCTGGAATCATGTTCCTTCTTTGCTCATTGCCTGGAGACTTGTACGCGTAGGCAATTCCCCTTCATGTGATACACTGAGCCCAAATATTTCATCCTGGAGAAGGTCTCTGGCTCTTACTTTTCTAAGGGTCTCCTGCTGGAAGTTTTTGAGTGTTAACATGTCTCTCCCACACTTCTTGGCAGAATACCGGTGGTCAGTGGACAAACTGATGGCTTGTTCGGCTTCCTGCGGCCACAAAGGGGTACAGCTGCCCCAGCTGAGGTGCTTACTGGATGGGGCCGAAGTCAACATATCCCACTGCAAAGAGAAGCCCAAGCCAACTCTGCAGCCCATTGCATGCAACAGGAGAGACTGCCCTCCACGGTTTGTCTGTCTCATGTTAAAATATCATACATGCTATTAAGATATGCTTGAAGAGTTCCTTGCACTGGACATCATGCCATTGTATCCTCTCTGGCACCTGTCTGGAGAAAAGTCATGGCTAAAAGGGGATTTATGAGTGCTTAACCTAGACAGCTGGTAATTTGTAGCAAAGTTTGTGGAAAACATTGACAGTACATGGTAGAAAGAGAGTTTACTCCTTCAGTAATGAGGTTAGAAAATAATGGAAAGGCTATTGCCTACTCTTTATTAGCAAAGTTCACAGCTTGAGTTGTCTCGGGTGATTCCAGCCTCACTCTGTTCTGGATGCAAATATCATGCCAGTTCTGGGATTTGTATATATGGGAGTTTTGTCACCCAAAAATTGTAGGTTGTATCTTTTTTTGTGTTCCACATGGCTTCATACCAGTTTATCCCAACAATACAACAGACAAGAAGCTAGGTTTAGCAGCAGTTTTGGGCTTTTATTCTGAGTGCCTGTGTTGGCTGAACATCAATATGGGCAGGACTAGCTGCAGCTGCAAAGAATTCCTTTAGCAGAGTGGAAATGTCTTTTGTAAAATGGGCACATCCCATCTGACCTAATGGACATGAAGGGGGGCTCAGACCGAGTTCTGCTTCCTCTTGGAGACTGTTAGTTTGTGGTTTCCTTGGGAAACAACAGGCTCTCTGTCCCTGTGATCATAGAATCATAGAATCAATCATAGAATTTCCCAGGCCGGAAGGGACCTCCAAGGGTCATCTAGTCCGACCTCCCCGCAGTCAGCAGGGACACCCCCAACTAGACCAGGTTGCTTGTTTTTCAGTTACTGTCAAACACAGTGGAGCCAGGACAGCTTGAAAGACTTCTGGCTACACTTAGGTTTGCCTCTGCTGCTTCCTCCCCACACAAAATACTTTCCTTCTTTGCCACACTTTGGTGCAAAGATGTATGCCTGAGTGCCCATCCAGAGAGTCAGCATAGTTTTGTACTCTCTCCATGTTAAAAATGTCCTACTTCTGCAACTGAGTGGCTCCTCGGCTGAGATGTGTAAACTTGCTTTTCCATATTTTTGGGGGGTTTTACTCCCTCCTCTCCTTTATTTCCACTGTGGACATCATGCGTTTCAGTAAACAAGCATTTAAAAGTAGTTAGGATCTCAAGAGAAATTTAGTACAACTTCTCTCATTCAACAGTGATTTGGGACTTGTATTAAACAAAGAGAGTCTAAGCGGAGGGAAGGAGAGGTGCTAAGCAACCTGATGAGAAGTAATCAGCCAGATTTACCACTCCTGGGTATATGGCAAGGTTCTGTTTAATTACCTTTTAAAATATATTCCTACCCCTCTTTGCAGGCAAATGTTTTCTGAGTTGCCAGCTGAGTCATAAGAAGGAAACCAAAAGAGATTTGATGAAATATGAAACATGCTCATTAGCAGCAATTTTCCTTGGTGATGGCAGTAAATTCTGTGGGAATGGTTTATGTCTTTTTATACCTTCCCTGAACTGTAACGCAACCCACAATCCTCCCTCAGCTCCTGAGAAACTGCTGAGATGTGAGCTTGGAAATAAAAGTTGATTGAAATGCAGAGCAGAGTTTTATGAGGGCTGCGGAAACTTCAGATTCAACCTCACCAAACTGCATAAAAAAAGACTGCAGTGTTTTTGTTTTCTTTATTGGGAGTTTGTTTGCTTATATACTTGTTTCTGTACCATGGGAGTTGATCACCCACAGAAGACAGGAATAGCAATGGATGTCTCTCCATGGGACTGGAAAATTCTTATTGCCTGTTTTATAAAGTAATCATAAACACAGCTAGTGAAGGAAGTGATAGGCACTGTTTCCCCCCCAGCAACACAGAAATCCTGGAACTTAATGAAGCAAACTGATTACTTGACCGTAAAGCTCTTCAGGAAACTAGTAATCAGTCCGATCCTTCCTGTTCCTACCTACCTCCTTCCCAAACCCAACTGTACGAGTGTTTCACTTAATGATCCTTAGACAGACAAAATTTGTTGTCCATCTCGGTCAGAGTTTGGACCTTGGCTATTATATTCTGTTGTTACAGACTTCTTACTGGTTAGACTAGATTTTTTTTTAAACCCCAGCACATATGGATTCAGAGCCTCAACCTTGAATGCGTGGTCTGAACTCAAGAGGAAAGAAGAAAAACGTCCTTATTGCCTGGGCTGGCTATGCACTGGCTCCATGCCTGAGCCACCTTCAGGCTTTGCTGGATTATCCCAGCTGCCAGGGGCATAACAGAACAGCCAGACACCAGCAGGACCCGGCAGCTTTTGGCTCTTCAGCAAATTCAAAGTGGCCTGTGAGCTACTCCAGCAACTTTACAGAGATAGTTTTCCCTACTAAGGGGCATAAATGGGCTAGTCATTGCTGACGTGACTATAACCTGTGACTGAGGCCTCCATGGCACAGTGGTGTTAAGAGCAGCCATGCCCAACCCTGTGTCTGGGCTAGAAATATTTGCTGAGCCTTTAAAAACACCCTCAAGGGCTAGAAAATGAGTTCTGGGGCCAAAGAACCTTGAGAAATACAATATCCTGAAAGATGTGCTCTTTTCTCAGCTTTCATTCTCTGAGCAGCTCTCAGTGACTGCTATGGGAGGCTGAGGCACTCGGCACCTTCCAGGGTCGCACCTTAAATAAACAAAACCAGCCTTGCCTTTCTTTGGTCCAATACCTAAAGACCTACTGACACCAATGAGCCTGCAGATGGTGGCACATATCTGCTCCCTGACCTGTTCTCCTTTCTCTCCCAGGTGGATGGTAACATCGTGGTCTCCTTGCACACGGAGCTGTGGTGGAGGCATCCAGATGCGGCGAGTGACATGTCAGCTCCTGACAGCGAAAGGCAGCTCTGTCCCAATGTCGAACGAGGCTTGTGCCCAGGTGTCCAAGCGCCCTGTGGACACACAGAACTGTAACAGGCAGCCCTGTGTTGAGTGGGTGGCCTCCTCCTGGGGCCAGGTAAGGAACAAGCCAGGAGGCCAAGGACAGCCTCAAAGCATGGGCTAGAAAAGTGAGAGAAAATGAGGAGAGATTTTGCACCCTGGTATCTTTAGGTTATGGTCTGCAGGCTTTTGAGGAGGCAACTAATTTGCTCCACTCTTTCAATTCCAGATTTGATGCACTGCATGCTTAGACTTCTGTAGCTTCCTGCTTTCCTCCTAGAAATGCTGCTTGTGAACAGGACTTTTACTGCACACCCCTGTATCGTCCCCAGGGGAAAGGTCTGCAGCTCCTGTTAACGTGACAAGTGGCACATCTGGGAAACAGCTTTCTCCAAGTCTTAATTCCTCTTACCACCCAGTGAATGTGTTTCAGTTTTGTCTGGCAGGAGTCAGAATGGACAACTGTGGTAGGTTTGGGATGTGGAGCTTTTACAGTAACCCAGTTCTACAAAGTTGCTGGTGTTGCCTGAGAATGATGAAAAGTGAGAGCTTTCTTGATTTGTTTCATGACAAAAAGCAGGATGGGGGGCTAAAAGCATTTTCAGACTACTTCATGCTGTTTTGCAGATCTTCAAATTCTCCCCTTGCAGTTTCATACAATGGTCAGACGTTAAAAAGCTTCACTCCATAAATACCAAATGTTCCAAGTATTTAGAGTTAAATCATTTTATTGTAGGAATCCACAGAAGAGTTTTGTCTTTGTCTCTCTGTGATTTATGAGATGTCCTAAAAAGACACTAGTCGATATTTAGTCAATTATAACCAGGGACAAGTCGTTACTCTGTGCTTCCTCCCTCTTCTCTCGACTCCAGCTTGACTGAGCTGTGTGTGAAGGCTGATGAGCCCACTATAGTCCAGAGTTCAGGGTACAAACTCACAGATTTTAGCTCAAAGATCTCCAGAGTGTTGATTCACATGGAGGTATTAGCATTCCAGGGCAAATGAGAGACAGGGTTAAAACCCCAGAAGCCAGTTTTGCTGGAGGTTAAAGCCAGAAACCAGTACTAATTTAATATCACTTTTGGTGGAATAAAAATTTTCAAAGGGAAAAAGAAAAAGCAGAAAAAGTACTTATACATCTAATTCAAATGATGAGTCGGGTAAAGGTACAGAAGCAAGGCTTCTTACCATTCAAGAAGAGGCTAAGAGAATACCTGGAGTAACAACTATCAATCATGACATATAGTGAGCTGTCATGAAATATTTTGCCTCCTTTTCTAATTAGCGTGGGGTAAGTCAGTTTGAAAACAACAGCAAATGATTTCTCATTGTGTGAGAGTTTATAGTAATACAATAGTTTGTTATTAATAACCACAGGCATTCTGTATTTTCTTGGGGTAATACGCAAAATATGTTGCACTGCATCAGGATTTTTTACTATGTTGATAGTGAAAAGTGTCTTCAGCTACTTGAACTTGCTATTGTTCACTACTTGAAAACAACTTCATTTAACTCTTGACTGTGTATTTTGGAAACTTCTCTCATGAAAGGTGATTGAGTTATTCTATTACATTTATGGGTAAAGTTTGGAATTTTCCTTTTATATGAAAGAAGCAGATTTTCACTCCCTATGGAATTCCAGCTAAGGACTGGATAATCCTTTTTAAAAGCCAATTACCTCATCCTTATTTTGTAGATGGTTATGGGCTACATTGTTCCCCATGACATCATACTCATCTGAGAGAATCAAACAGGTCTGAATTAATTTGTTAGATTTAACCTCTGTGCATTATAATATATTATTTCTTCTACCTAGCTTAAAAAAAAATAAAGTCCCATATGATTCTATTCAGTTCAGTCTCCAAGCCAGAAGAATGTTATCTAATTACAGTCAGGAACACTCTAATCAGTGGATCAATGACCTTCTCAGTAGTACCACGGGGTATCAGGTCCCTGGAGCCCAGGTATAATGAGCAACTTTCCCAACTCACAGAGAAAATAAACAGATGACTTAATCTGTCCCTATCTCCAGAATGAACTCCATCCCCTCACTTAATGCTAGTGGCATTTTGATCTCCACTATGTAATCCCGTAGTGGTTTAAAACCAGTGACTCAGGCTTGCTGGTGATGAGGACTGCTAGCCCCTGCAGATAGCGTGCCACATACTCCAACAAACAACATCTCCATCCACCTTGCTCAATGAGAGGGTTAACTGGGAGCAACTGGAGAAGCTGGCAGCCACTCTTTCTCTCTCCCAGTCATCAGGGAAGGAAGAAATAGCAGAGGGAAGAAAGTATTACATCAGGAATGCATGGTAGTGTGAAATAGGGCTCCTGTTGATGTGGGCGTAGAGGCAACAGAAAGATCTATCAGCAGCCTTCCCCTGGCCAAAATTCCTCCCTCATACTAAAGTCCCATTCTTCAACCCTCAGTCTGTTCTTGAGTATAATTTCCAGATACTTTGAAAAATAAAATGTTTCCTAACAGTTGATCTAATTTTAAAAGAACAGAAATACATGCTTCATACCTATAGCTGATTACAATTTAATCGAAGGAGAGAATTAGAAGAGTTAAGCAGTAAGCTTATGATTGATAAGCTTGAATAAAGTAGGAGAACCTATTAGTATTGGAGCAAGCTTGCAGATCTGCTGTGCTTGTCATGCTTGCTGCTTTTGCTTATTGTCCAGCAGTATACTTTTAAATTATTAAATGGAGTGGAATATGTTCTTGGTCCAATGTGTTCTTGGTTATTAACTAGTTGCCCATAAATTTTGATTGTACAAGCTGCAAAATGCACAATAAAAGGAATGTATTGAGATTTCCTGTATGGATCATATGCTCTCGGCTAATGACACGAGAGCATTTTATTTGCTGTTACAAAGACTGTATTTAAGACTGAACTATTGAAGAGGAGAGGTAATGAATCTACAGAGCAGATACAGAGATGCATTTTTAATGCTGCTGGAGGAGAGTGAGGTAGGGCAGAAGATGACTGCGTGCAAAGCCCACAGAGCTGCAGGAAATACTCAAAGCTCAAGAGTCACTGCAAGGCAGTATGCGCTTTATTTCACCAGCAGTTCTTAATCAAAGGGGAATATGTCCTGCCTTTTACCTCCTGTGATTTTTCTGTGTTCACAGTGTAACGGGCCTTGCATTGGACCACGACTGGCTGTACAGCATAGACAGATATTTTGCCAGACCAAAGACGGGACTTCTGTGTCATCAGATCAATGTAGTGCCTTACCAAGGTAGGACAGGAGTCTCGTATGTTTAAAACCACTTCCCTTAGCAGACATGTTGAATGGACTAAAACTGACTTTTGGGTTTTCCCTATGTAACAAAGAGGCCATGCCAAAGTTATGTGGTATATTTCTCACCAGGCTTGAGCTCAAGCTTCACTGTTCATTCCCATCAGCCCCAGAAACAAACAGTAGCTGGCCAACAACTGGGAAGTCTTCTTGGCATGCCAAATCCTTACTGAAAGGCTGTACTGACTCTTCTTAAGCTACCGATCTCCTTTTCCCTTATTTAAACACAAGCTCTAACTGGGGGAAAAAAAAGGAACTCCACCGCTTTTGTTTTCCTGCAGATAAACTCCACTGTAAAGATTGTAAAGACATATTTTCTTCACATGAGACTTAGGTACATCAATCATGCCTGATCATGACTGAAAATTAATATAATGGGCTCTTTGGCTCCCACTCATGTATTTTCATTATCTGTGTGACAAATAGGTCGGAACCTAGTGGGCCTATGCATCTTCTGTGAGATTGCCTTGAAGGGAAAAGGAGGGTTTCAGAGAATTGGGTTTGTTCCCACTGGCTGTTAAAAAAAAAAAAAGAAAGTGGCAGAGCCCTGCTGGATCTTAGTGATCAGCACTTCTCTCATTGCATCTTTTCAGTGGACCTCTGGTTTGGCACTTCATGGACAGGACATTTTGGGCAAATCCTCAAATAGTAAAAATGATTTTTTAGTTCCAGTAGTGCTGGAGCGTGCACCTGCTGAGGGTCTGGTCCCTGCGGGCAGTTACAGACGGGCTCTCAGTGCACTGGAGTTATCCCTGCTTGCACCCATTGAATGGCATCAAGCAGTGCTCTGAGCGCATTACGTTGGGGATACGCGAGGCTCATTGTCCCCAGGGCTTGCATGGCACCCAGGGTGGCATACACTTGCTCCCTGCGCAGCGTGGTGATGGGTCACCCTTCCTTCCCTCCCTCCCCTCTGCCCGCAGACCCTTGAGCACCCAGAACTGCTGGACCGACGTCTGCGGCGTGCACTGGAGGGTCAGCCTGTGGACCGTCTGCACGGCAACCTGTGGAAACTACGGCTTCCAGTCCCGGCGCGTGGACTGCGTGCACATCCGTACCAACAAGCCCGTGCTGGAGCATCACTGCTCCTGGAGGCCACGGCCGGTGAACTGGCAGCGCTGCAACATCACCCCCTGTGAAAACAGTAGGTTGGGGAGAGGAGCGGGAGGGTAGCGTGGGACAGGGGGAGGAAAGAAGGCAGAGCCGTCTCTCAGAAATGCAGCACTGCACGCCTTGCAGCTGGGCATCCAGGGGAACCTCCAGCCTGACCATACACAAAACGTGGTGTCCAAAACTCAGTGCCCCAGGGGGAACGGTGCCCATTGCAATTTGTTGGCGATGGTGTTAGCGTTGGGGTTGTGTCTGTTTGCTAATCGCATGTGAAATGGCTGATGCAGTCTGAACTTTCCATTAATGGTACAGATGGAAATAAAAACATGAATCACATACTGCTGGCTAGAGTTAAAATACAATGGGTAGGTTGATGATGGGAATCCAGTGGGTAGGTTGATGATGGGAATTCCTGGAATGGAGGTTGCAGGCTTTCAGGTGACAAGTGACTCATTGGGCTTGCCAAAGGACTAAAAAAGTTACAAATATTTAAAAAAAAAAAAACAAAACCAAACCAAAAAAGAACAGATGATGTGCCTCTTTGGAAATGGTGCCTCACTATGGCAATATCTCTTTGGGAAACATCAGGCAGCTCAAGTTGAAATCACTACCTGTTCACTTGCCACAGCTTCCATTTCACACGCTGATTTTGATGGGCAGATGCCACCCTCTGCCATCAAAGCCAGATGCTGTGCCATAGTTGCAGGAACACCAGCAGAACCTGCCTGGTCTTGCCTATGGCCGCATCAGTTCTGACAATCCCTCCCAGGCAAAGTGGACTCCACAAGTTCAAAGCAGTTTTGACTTTGAGGTGCCCTAATGGAAGTGAAAGAGCTGAGGGAGCTTACAGATACCAAGCAAGACCTTTGCTGCCCATCCAGCCTCTTTTTATTATATAGAAACGTCCCACATCTAGACAACAGTGGAGTTATTTGGCAGAGACATTACCAGAGAGGGCTGTGCAAGTGTTCTTTGAGCAGAATCCTTCTCTCATTACTTCATCACTGTTTCTCCTTTTTGTTTCCCCTTTGGCAGTGGAGTGCAGAGACACCACAAGGTACTGTGAGAAAGTGAAACAGCTCAAACTCTGCCAGCTCACCCAGTTCAAGTCACGCTGCTGTGGGACTTGTGGAAAAGCTTGAGGACAAACACAGTGAAAATGGAGGAACAAGGGGATTACAGCCTTTGCTTCACCGAGGCAAGGACTTTTACAGAAAATATAAATGGAATGGAATTCTTTTTTTCATTTTATTTATTTATTTCCCTTTCCAAAAAAAATTAATAGAAAACCTTTTACCGAATCATCGATGTAAAGGGACTTGACAAGTTTTCCCTTCTATGAATCTGGGAGACAGAATGCAGCAAAACATGGTCATGAGGGTAGACCACAAAGAGTCAGTGAGCCCCATGCCACCAGCAATGGGCCTGAGAGGAGTGGGGCTGCCCCATAATCCACGTACATGCCTGAGGGTACACCAGGAGACAGATGGGGAAGGAGATTAGAGTAAAAACCTAGCATCACATTGAACCATCACAAACTGAAAGAGGGTAGATTTAGATTAGGAAGATTTAGATCAGGAAGAAATTCTTTCCTGTGAGGGTGGTGAGGCACTGGAACAGGTTGCCCAGAGAAGCTGTGGATGCCCCATCCCTGGAAGTGTGCAAGGCCAGGCTGGATGGGGCTTTGAGTAATTTGGTCTAGTGGTAGATGTCCCTGCCCATGGCAGGGGGGTTGGAACTAGGTGATCTTTAATGTCCCTTCCAACCCAAACCATCCTATGATTCTAAATAACCAAACAGCTTGACAGATCATGGGGTATGGAGAAAAAAAATAAAAAGGCTAAACTAAACATTCAATTATGCAGCATACAGATACCTCATCTAAAAAATTCAATTATGCAGCATACAGATACTTCATCTATCTTAGACTACTTTGAGAATATAAGCATATGATTTTGCTTTACAAACCTATTTGTTACATTCAAGATTAGATTCCTTTTTCTAAACCCCTTTCTCCTTCTCATGCCAGGCCTTCAAATTATTTCAATTGGAGATCCTCAGGATCATTTAGGATCTGGTGTCTGGGGAAGTTGAACAATGGTGTGTAATGTAAGTGAGTCTAAAACACACCCGGGTTGTGCTTGTGAGGGAGGACTGGCGAAAGGAAGGTTGCCCTCAGCACAGAGGTGGGGTGATGATGTTAATTATTACCCAGGATAAGGAGAGAAAGTATGATTAGCTATTGACAGACTGTAATACAAACCAGCAAATACTGTCCTGTAGAGAGCACAGGAAGGAGAGATAGCAATTTTTTGTGGTAAGAGGAGCTACTTCACATACCCCGTTCTACTAATACTTAATTGGAAAAGCGAGGACTACCAGTTCCCAGAGTTCAGGTAGGTGCTTTCAGACCTGGGGTTTTGGAAAGTAACTTGAGGAACTGGGTTCTCCTGTCCTGCTAACGTGAAATTCCTTTCTCCTGGCAGCCATGACTTTTGGACAAATAGTAGAAAAAAGCTGTGTTCTGATTTCTTTTGGTTATTCCTACTCAGTAGAACGGGTTCTGCATCAGCCCCAGAGGACTAATGCCAATAATTTTTAACAGATCTGCTCCTCTCCAGCTGCCTGTCACAGCGAGGTAGATGCGATAAAGCAGCACATTTTAAAGCCCATGTATAACATCCTGAAGATACAGTCTAAAAAGCAAGGCTCAAACATCACACCCACAGCATGACTTTGCATGGTGTCTCTGAGTCTTTCCCCCTGGCCAGCTGCAGTGGCTATTCAGCCAGTGAAGTGCTTCATCCTTTTAGTTCCTGGGCATTCTCTGCTCTGCTCAGAATAGGGCCCTAAAATTAGAGGAAATCTGAAAAGTAGGGAGTTTGAGCATTGTGAAACTTTAAAGGAGAGCTATCTGGATCTGAGGTTTTTGTTCAAGACCATCTCTAAATCAAAGGCTTGGCTGTGCCTCTTCTGTCACCCCCAGTAGAGCTCATGCCTTGTGGTACATTAATGAAATGCTGTTAAAGGACTGCTGTGTTACAGCTTCCATGACACATGGATTTTTCAGCAAAACTGGGAGTCTACTTTGGAGGTCAGTGTCAGGTTCATGACATGGAACTGTCTCAAGCTGAGTTACTTCAAAACAGATCTGGCAGTGAACACTCTTACTACAAATGGGTCTTCAAGAAATATTGTTGCTAAGCATCAGTGCAACTTTTTATTTAAAAAAAAAAAAGAAGAATGTCTTTCTATGTATGTAAATGTATATCTTTCTGTATATTTATTAGGATTTCTTGTACAAAAAGTGCAATATTAATAACTGTACATTATTTTGTCCAGATAAATCTATTTTGTTTTTTTTTTAATCTCCCCAGAACTTTGTTCCTCTAAAATCAACAGTAATAGTGTATTTCTCTTCATTTTAATAGCATTTGCATTTAATTGGGGATTTGCTTCACTGTGCACACAATGTTTTATAAACTATGACATGAGGGAGGGATGATGTTTTTAACTTGTGTAATTATGCATGGAATGAAGGACAATTCCTTAACAACAGTAATAATGATGATGATGATGTGGTGGATGTTTCTAGTACAGTAGTTAAAAAAAAGTACGGGGAAATATTTTCATTTGTTTAATAGCAAAACATATTCAGATGATCCCACGTTGAATACTAGCTGTATAAATAAGCGTAGGATAAACATGAATGATCAGATCTGGAGGGGCCACTGTGTTGTCTCTGCACAGTGTGGATTTTATTTCATATGTCTGTCTTCTGAATTGTGACTTCACAGCATCTCAGTTAAGTTAAGGGTTGCTGGATATTTTATGAAATGACATTTTCCTTCTCTGAAAAGAAAACAAAACAGCAAACTTGTATTTATATATCTTTTTGTACAATTAATGCAGGTTACTTATTTATCTACTGCTGTCTGACGTGTTGTTTATTAATCTTAAAAACAAAAGCCAAACAAAGTAACAAAGCTGTTGGAGTACTCTGTCCTTATTCTGTATTATGATAACACCCACAGCTGTCACACAAAGTACACATGATCTACCTGCCTTGGGGAAAGAGGATGTCTGCACTTGTTTTTAAAAGTCTCCAGCCATTAAGATTCTGCACGCTCTCTAGGAGCTCTGTCTCAGTTCTTCATTTGCCTTGCTTTATTCTTTTTCGCTAATGCCTTGCCTCTATTACTCTTGCAGAAGTATAAGGCCACCACTGCTGATCTTAGGATTATGGAAATCCGTAAAAGTATACTCCAATTTTATTATGCAGCAATGTTTAAAGACATCTTGTGGCTTTCCCCAGCAACTTCTGGCATGAAGCAACCCCCATTACTTCAGTCTTTCCTTACAAGTCGCTGCTGCCTTTAGTAATAGAGCTTGCAACTTCTTGAAGTATCAAGAGTATATGTAGAAGGAATACTGGTAATGATCACAATTTCCAGGGGGGGGAAGGGGGTGAAAGAAGCAAAAACTTAATAAAGCAAAAGCATTTTCTCTCAACAAAGACAAAATCAAGTTTTTTAAAACTAAGCTTGTCCTGCTCTTGCCCTTTTCCAACAAATGATGCCATGTCTCTTCTAAAGGGAACAATGATTTTTCTCTGATTTACTGATAGTTGCCGTAGTATGACGTTCCTGCATATGCTTTTTAGATACGTACACTGCAAGTAAATAGAACCTCACACATATACACAGAGACGCAAGCCAAAGACTGGACCTAAGACTCCCAAGCAACAGTACTGAAGACAACGGGAATTCGGTCATTCATTTTAAGTAAAACAAGTATAAAAGCTGGTGTTGATGTAAAATGAACAACAGCCCAGCTTAGGTTCTCAAGAGAATAATTTTTCTCTTTTTATGCATATGGCTTTAGTTACCAGTCAAGTCAAAAAGCCTTCAAAACCTTCAAAGCAAACTTCCAGTTTTGTTCTCCTTACTAATTTTCCTCAAGGAAGAAAAACAGTTCTGCAACAAGCAGAAAAAAGCAGTGCTGAAAGGTTTCCCACAGGAGACATACTCCTGCCCCTGTTATGTGGCAAGGTAAGCACAGCTAAACTACTCCAGGCATGTACGTCTGCAAACATGCTCTTAAACCCATTGAAGCCATAGGCAGAGGTTTCCAAAGTAACCTTTAGCTGCATTTTTATTTTTCCTGCACTCTGGCCATAGTCATATGGGCTGTGATTGAAGCTTTTTTTCTTTTTAAGTTGTGATTCTTTTTTTTGCAAGTTACCCCATCAAATTAAAAGCTGATGGTGGTGTGGTTCTGTCGACAATGCACCGTGGAAGTAGCAAGTGGTACCTGCTGTTCCTTAACCTTCAGCAGTCCTACCACAGAAATGTCATCTGAAAGGCCAGGTAAGGTAGACAGCTGTGTAATACCCTCAGTCTCTACAGCTGCTGTACCAAAAGCCCACCGATACCCTCTCAGGCCTTTGAAATACCCTCTTTTGAGGTAGCCTATGCCAAGGATGCACGGAGCATCTGGACCAGTCACAATAGGATGCTTTTCCCATTCATTCCTATTCAGGCTCACTTCAGCCTCTAGTACAGTCAGATCTTGAGATCCTCCTGTCACTCCAGCAATAGTGACAGTTTCTGTCCCTCTATGATTCGATGGCGTTAGGGTACACTGTGCACCAGTGTCCACAAGGGCTCTATACTTTTGTGGCTCTAATGTGCCAGGCCATCAGATCCACACAGTCCAATAAACTCGGTTATCCCTCCTCCTCCTGGCTGGAGGCAGGGCAACCCTAATGCTGAGGACAGCATCTATAATTGTAAGGTGAGTTCCTGTCTGGCCAGGGGCAGTACACACTCTGAACTGGAGCAGCCATGTTCATGTAACAATCCTTCCTTCTGTCTGCTTTACCTTGCAACTCAAGCACTCATGCCTGCAGGGCTGAAGTAGGGTTTTTATCCCATCTCCTCGTGTTCTCTCCATAATTGCAGAGGCAAAGCCACAGGAAACCTCGGAGTGAGTCTTTTTTCCCTTTGGTCGGTCTCATGGGAGGGGGTTTTTTCTTAATGGCTGCGACTTTGGTCTTAGCTGCTCCTTGGGTTTGAGCCGGAAGTTGAGCCTGAGCTGCAACTTGAGTCTGAGCTGGAAGTTGAGTCTGAGCTGGGGAAGAGTAAGATTCTTTCCCAATCTCAGAAAGTTTTTCAAGCAGTTTGTGAAGAATTGTCTCATTTTGCTTAACTATTGCCTTGGTCATTTTCTCTATTGTCTCAGTCCTTGTCTTATTTTGTGTCTTGCTTATGTTCTCCATTGTCTCCTTCTGTGTCTTAGCTATATTCTCTATCATTTCAGTCTGCATCTTAGCTATGTTCTCTGTTGCCTCAGTTTGTGTCTTATTCTGTTCAGCTATCTTCTCAGTTTGTTCAGCCACTGTTTTAGTCAGGTTTTCTATTGCTGCAACACCAATGGGATGAGAGAGACTATCTTCATACTGTCGCACCCTGTCAGCGACCTCATTTACAGTTGGTGTATCAGTACCAGATCCTCCCCAGACCATTGTTGACAAAGTGTGGGAATACACTGATGGTGCACTCTGCACCAACTTTTTCAACAAAGGTCATTGGCATGGCATTTCATCAGGATTTATAGCCACTTGCCAATCGCCATAAATCACCTCCCGAATAGCCAGTTCTCTCAGGTACTTAATACCTTTCTCCATGCTGGTCCATTTGCTTGGACGGCATTGGATATCATCCTTAAAGGGATATCTGCTCTTTACAGCTGATAGCAGTCGCCTCCAGAGACTGAGAACATCTGCCTTATTCCCAATTCCTCTATCAATACCTCCCTCTTTGGCCAGATTTCCCAGCTGGCTGGCCTCTCTACCATCTAAATCTGTGGAATTAGCTCCACTGTCCCCGCATTGGAGCAACCAAGAGAGAAGTGGCTCCCCATCATGATGAGTAAAATCCTTCCTCAGATTTTGCAAATCCTTCATAGATAAAGAATTAATAATTACATCTCCATCTGAGGTGTCATCCTGTATTGAGGCTGGCAGAGAAGGACCCTCTCCCCTTTCTACCTGGGAAGGGGCTGCTGGAGGAGGTTGCTGTCCCTTATCTACACTAGCAGGACCCTCTCCTGGATCTTCATCAGAGGAACCCTCTCCCATGCTCTCTAGCTTGGGCATATCCTTGTCGTAAGGGGCAGGGGCATAACATTCAGTAAAATTGACAGCACTGTCACGATTAAGTGACCGTGACGATAACCACAATAATTACAACAATTCTCCAAAGAGCCCACAGGTTTTTCATCCCCCAATTCCGTTAGTATCACTTTGGGATAATCACTAACAGGCAAGGTAAACATTCCCCAGGTGAAATCAGAAGTGAAATTAGCAACAGGATCCACCACCTGATGCCCAAGAGATGCAGGTATGATACCAATCCAACTGATCACATTATACATCTGGAGGCAAATCCACACAAACATAGCACGCTTGACCCACCGCATCCAGACACAAAAAACAAATAAACCCTTCAGCATATTTGACCAGTCAAACACCAGTGCTTTAACAAACTTCATACAAAGCTCTCTGACAACATCATATAAAATGTTCTGTAGGAACGACATGATGTAAGCTGTCGGTTCTCTCTAAACAAGCTGGAATTTAAACTATTCAAACAATCTTATCAGAGCTCGGGTCGTGCCACCATCGTCGAGCCCCACGTTGGGCGCCAATAAATCTGTCGTGGTTTCAGCCGAAATCACCGCAACCGGATCGACAGATGGCCCTTCCCCCCCCCAAAAGAGGAGAGGAAGAGATAAGGAGATTGAAAAGTTTAGAATTAACTAAACTACTTTAATGAAAAATTAATATTAAAATAAAAAAGAGAGAAGAAAATAATGAAATAGATACAAAACGTATACAAAACCGTATCAAGCTCCCAGGATGACAGTCCCATCACCAGCAGGCACTGGGGAAGCCCCAGACTGGACTCAGCGACGGATGGGAACTGGATTCCAGCTCTGGAGTCAGGAACACACGGATCGGGATCAAAAGCAGATGAACAGACAGGGTCCTCTTTGGACGTCGGCCATTGCAGGAAGAGAGTTGACCCTTTGATCCCTCAGCTTTTATACTGAGCATGGGGCAGATGGGATGGAATACCCTGTTGGTCAGGTTTGGGTCACCTGTCTTGTCCGTTCCTTCCCACAGATGTGACCCCTCTACGCTTTTCCGTTTCCGACCCTCTAAGGGGCAAATAACGAAAATTGGCTGACCTTGGTTGTTATAGCAATAAGCATAAGCAAGGGCCTCTCTGCACACCATTCCCTGGCATGTAGCACAAACATTGGTCTTATCACTCTGAGAAGGAACAGTTTTCCCCACAATATGCCGTTAATTTCAGAGAGTTAGAAGAGGCCTAGCTAAAATGTAAAGTTACAGAACACAAAATTGATCTGTTTTACTTCAAACCAGGACAGATGGTCACCTTACTTTCTATTTGGCATCCAAACACTGATTCATAAATAAATTTGATTATTCTCTATCAGCATAAGTTGACAACTCTATTTGTAGAAAAAGGTGGACCAAGTGCTTACTCTCTTCCAGATTTTCAGGACTGTAGAAGTTCTCATAAGTTCTTAATGGTAGCTGGAAGATCATTTCAGCCAGTAATTGAATGAAATATCTTCATTCATTTAATTACCTAGTTTTTAACACAGAAGTTTTCAGACTGTTTTGATTGTCAGAATTTCTCACAGACTACTAGTGTACAGAGGTGGGAAGCTCAGAACTGCTAATGCTAACTATGCCTCTGCATATTAGCTGCAGACCACAGTTTGTAACGCATCGATTTAACCATTCCTTTAATCCTCTTGTTTAAAGGTGTATGTATATTTATAAATAGTGTTATGTATTAACTGTCACACTCAGCTTTTATTCACAGAAACTAAACCAAAGGAGATGTCAAATACTGTAGTTTGAAAAAAAAAATGAGGTAAGGGACA